AACTATGTCATCATGTCGTAGTTACTGAACCCCTGTGCTGAAAAATGTTATTTTACCTGATGTGTTTTTTAAATCATAAAGAAAGAACCAATAAACTATATTGAATAAGTAAAAATCTTTATCAACTTGTTTACAAAGTGTAAAACCTGCAGCAGCAGCGACTGAACACATGTATGATGTTAACATCCACTTTACACACAATCCTTGTTAATTTGAGGATATTCATCACAAACATTTCACATTATCAGAACAATGTTTGATGGATTTTTGTTTTCACATTCACTATTTTCATTAAATATCTGCTGTCAGTTGTAATAAAGTGGATTCAACATATAAATCTGACAAACATCAGTAAATAAACACTGGCTCATATATTATATATATTTTTAACAATCATGTCATGTCAATGTATTTGGGATTCAGAAAAACAGCAGAGTTACACAAACATCTTCCTCCAGTATTACAGAAGCAAAACACTAAATAAAAAAAATCTACTTCTGCATTTCTATGAATCCTCTCCCAGCTCTTCTCGGTCTTCGTGCATCATCTATTCCTAAAACGTCTTTAAACAGCACATTGGACGCAAACAGCATTTAAATTAATATATTGTCAAGTTTCCACAGACAAATATTAACTTTTTCTAAATGTGCAGTCGACTCTTCAGTCGTTTATTCTGTGAAAACACAGATTCTCTAAACAAATGTTGATCTTTTCAGATTAAATCTTGAAAAGGTTTTTTCTTATCAATGGAGGGAAACTTGTGAAAATGGAAGGATACAAAGTCGGTGTATTCATTTCTTCATACTAACTGGATATCTGCGCAGGTTCTGGGTCTCTCATGGGTTCGTCAGAGACGCGGCCCGATGTCACGCTCGCTCCGTCAGTGAGGATCAGACCATATGTGCAGAACGTTCTGACCGAGAATGGACCACACATAAAGCTTTTGCTTATAACAGACAATGCACATGACCGCTGCCAGAAATGTATGGATGTAGAACAATTGTTGCACATTCATAGGCCCCGTTCAGCAAAAGTCGTACTGCTGACTCAGCAGCTTTCCGCATTTGAATAACAACACGTCGTGGGCCCCCGGGACCTTGTATAAAAGGGCCCCGGAATCATGGAGTTAGCAGAGCAAGTTGAACCATCCACCAGGAACAACCTAAACCACCATCATGGGCAAGGTAATGAGATGTTTACTGATCTTCTCACATATTTCTCAGATTTCATCCAGCGAAATCAAACTAAATCCTCATGTCACCGTCACGGTCCTCTCCCCTGTTTCAGATCACCTTCTACGAGGAGAGGAACTTCCAGGGTCGCTCCTATGAGTGCATGAGCGACTGCTCCGACATGACCTCCTACCTGAACAGGTGCCAGTCCTGCAGGGTGGAGAGCGGCTGCTTCATGGTCTACGAGCGCCCCAACTTCATGGGCATGCAGTTCTTCCTGAGGAGGGGCGAGTACCACGACATGCAGCGCATGATGAGCACAGGGATGATCGACTCCATCAGATCCTGCAGAATGATTCCATTTGTAAGAGACCTCACTGGCATTGCTTCCTTTTTCTTGATGAATCTAAACGTTGTTGGTTTCAGCCGACCTCACGCTGTCCCTGTTTTGTCTTAACAGCACCGCGGCCAGTTCAGGATGAAGATCTACGAGAGGGAGAACTTCGGCGGTCAGAGCAACGAGCTGCAGGACGACTGCGACAACATCATGGAGCGTTACCGCATGTCCGACTGCATGTCCAGCCACGTGATGGACGGCCACTGGCTGATGTACGAGCAGCCCCACTACAGAGGCAGGATGATGTACCTGAGGCCCGGAGAGTACAGGAGCTTCAGGGACATGGGCATGAGCAGCAACAGGTTCATGAGCATGAGGCGCATCACCGACATGTGCTAGACTTCTGTATTTGACATCAGTAAATAAAAATCATGTGTAATTCATAACCATGTTTGTCAGAAGTTTTCTTTCTCCAAGTGGTTTGTCCTGAATTCTGAAAACAACATGTTGGCTAGAATTAGCCCAAAAACTCCCTTAAAGGTCTAATGTGTAAGATTCAGGTGAGAGGGAACAAGAGACAGAAATTTAATGTAGAATAATCCTCATGATGTTTTCACGACTTCATTTCATCTGAATTGTACAAACTGTAGTTTTCTTTACCCCAGAAAAAACCCTTTATATTTAAATACTTTATATTTACATGGAGGGGACCCTCTCTACGGAGGCCGCCATGTTTTTTACATTAGTCCAGACTGAACAAACTAAAACCTTTTGAGTTTTTATGACGACTGAAGCTTCCTCAGGTTCTTTCTCATGTTTGGAAGGAGAGGGTGAGGTGAGGGGTGTTCAGCTGCAACATGACACTTCAACACTAGGTGTCACTAACTTCTACACACTGCACCTTTAAATCCAATCAAGCTGCACCAAATTTCATTTCACAAACTCATAGATATTAGTTCTCTGAATATTTTCATATCAAGATTTATGAATAGTTCTCCAGATAATTCGTGAAAACACACAACAACAACAAAAAAACGCTGATTCAGCAATTTTAATAAAAGTGTGAAAAAAGAAAATCCTTGATCCAGCCCCTGATCTGGATGCACAACGTAATGAGTTGTTTCCTGGCCCACAATGCATCATTCTCAACTGTTTAGTAGTAATTTGTCCAGGACAAACAAACAAACAAACAAACAAACGCTGATTTAAACATAACCTCCTTCGCGGAGTTCACTATCAACTCTGAGGAGAAAATAAAAAATCAATATCAATACGTACAATATATTAAAAACAAGGAACCGTTGATGGTTTTTAAATTCATCTGATCATCGTATGAGTTCTTCTTGGTCCAGTTGTCAAAGTTCCTCCATGAAGAAAGTGGGTTTAAATGTTGTGACTGTCTCTGGAGTTGTTACGTCACGTGTCTCTTGTAGTATAGTTGCGTCAAAGTATTCTATTTGTAGTATTTTTTTCAGTATAAATGCAGTTGTGAATACATGATGTCTGCGTTAAATCATAACTTTTCATCATGGCGGCTGCGTAATCTGACGAAGCCTCCGTCTTTCATTCCTCTAACCAACGTGTTGAAAGGTTTTCCTGATAAATTGGTTTGTTTCTCTTTCTGTATAGAAGTTTATGAGAATGTGCATCTCAGAATAAAAGCTGAATTCAGATGACCTCACTGGAATATGTTGTTTTCATGATGAGTAAATTCTGAATATTCTGAATAATTCTGACTCCAGAATGTTTGATTGTTGTGACAGACGGTTTCTAGACGACCTGTGTTTAACCTTCATCCAGCAGCTTCTCTCCACTGGGATATTCTACATTTATACAATGTTAAATATTTGGTTCTGTTACAAAACCACAACAGCAAAGAGTTTTTTACGCAAAATCAAAAGGTTGAGGAGATTCCTGTGACTCCCACTGAAAGTGAATTGTTCCATAGACAACAGGACAAAAGGTAAAATGCTGCATCTTTCTCATTGTGACTCACAAAGTGTCAGCGGCTCTTTCAGGTTCATTCTAATGTTAATCACTAGTTTTGATTTTTTGTCTTTTTGAAATCAAACTTTATATGTTTTTCATTTATAAACAGGGAGACGAGCTTTAACCTACTGGACTGATTCTGTTTGATTGATTAGTCGTTTTTCAACAATACAACTAAAATCTAATCGAGTAATTGATGGTAAAATATTTATTGTTGAA